GTCTGACCGGCTTCCTCCCCCACCACCGGAGCCAACTCACCACCAGGTAGTGGTCAGTTGACAGCTCCGCCCCTCTCTTCACCCTAGTGTCCAAGACATACGGCCGCAAATTCGATGAAACGACGACAAAATCGATCAATGAACTGCAGCCTAGGGTGTCCTGGTGCCAAGTGCAYATATGGACACCCTTATGCCTGAACATGGTGTTTGTGATGGACAATCCGTGACGAGCACCGAAGTCCAACAACAGAACACCACTCGAGTTCAGATCGGGGGGCGTTCCTCCCAACCACGCCCCTCCAGGTCTCACTGTCATTGCCCACGTGAGCATTGAAGTCTCCCAGCAGAACAAGGGAGTCCCCAGGAGGGGCACCCTCCAGTACHCCCWCTAAGRACTCCAAGAAGGGTGGGTAATCYGAACTTTTGTTCAAATAATTGAAGGAAGGATGAGTGGAAAAATGTACAGAGACATTATTGATAAAAAAAATCTGCTTCCATCTACCAGGATGATGAAGATGAAACGTGACTGGACATTTCAGCAAGACAATGACCCCAAACACAAAGCCAAGGAAACTCTCAAATGGTTTCAGAGAAAGACAATAAAGCTGCTGGAATGGCCCAGCCAATCAACTGACTTGAATCCAATAGAAAATCTATGGAAAGAACTAAAGATCAGAGTTCATAGAAGAGGTCCACGAAACCTTCAAGATTTGAAGACTGTTTGTGTAGAAGAATGTGCCAAAATCACATCTGAGCAATGCATGCAACTAGTTTCTCCATACAGGAGGTGTCTTGAAGCTGTCATTGACAACAAAGGCTGTTATCGACATCTGGTGAAAATTTCATGTCATTAGCGTCTCTAGTAATACACAGTATTTACTGAGAAAAATGGTGACGTGTTCAATACTTATTTTACCCGCTGTACATACATACGTATATATATTCTGTACAATAAATCAAATGTGGAACGATTATTGCATTATATAGCGTAAATTGTGCTTTATCATTAAATAACTCCTTATCTTTATACAGTACAATAGATTTTGCCATTTTTGTTCTTAAGTAATTTTAATGGGGTATCCATGTCAGTTTTTCGTCAATGATGACTCCCAAAAACTTCACCTCACTGACTCTGCAAATTTCAACACCATCCACTCTAAATGGAACATCAGTTGTTTTCTTTCTATTACTGAATATCATGTAATTTGTTTTATCCAAATTTAATATAACTTATTATGATTAAACCAACTTTGTACTTTTACAAATTCTGTTTCCATCATTTCCAACATCTGTTCCATGTTCTTACCCAGGCAAAAAAAAGGAGTCGTCTGCAAATAAAAGACGTCTAYACAACCCCAACACATTTACCAAGTCATCAATATATAGAAGAAAAAACTTTGGTCCCGGTACAGAACCTTGTGGAACCCCACATACAATATTACAAAGTTCAGACCTTWCATCATTAATTTATACAAAGTGTTTCCTATTGTTTAAATAGCTTGTGATTGAATGTTTTGGTTAGCTGTGCGTACCACTGCAGGATACCCAACATGATTTCTTTCAATCTGAAGTAGTCATAAACCCAACAGTGACAACTGACGGTGTATTGACTTCTTTTAAGTGCCCCATTGTGCAGAAGATTTTACTCAGATCTAGGACATGGGTATTGGGATATGGCTAAAGCTAAAAAATGGGTCTAAAGATTTTTTGGCAAGGAAACAAGCCATTGCATGACTACAATATGTGTATGTGTGCTGTGATCATGGTGTTCGCTTCGTCTCAACAGGCAACAGGCCCATGGGCTGCAGATCGCCGAGATAGCCCAGTACAAGAAACGGAAAGCCGAGAAACAACAGCAGGAACAACTTGCAAAGAAGAAAAACTGAGGTAATGTTATGCATTACCAAAAAAATGTATAACATTACTGGCCTAGTTGGCAACAGGACTCATCCTTTGGCAAACGTATTGGTGAACTGTCTCCAGGTGTTACTTGCTGTATGTTTGGACTTATTTGCATCTTAAGCACAACCTGTTCAAAGTCGAATTAGAAATCTTGGCTACAACAAAAACAGCTGGTCACGAATGCTAACTTGTTCAATAACTTTGTCATTTTATTATTTATTTCAAATACACATTGGTATTTGATAAATTTAAAAACTTATTTTCCTTGGTTAAATACAATCTATACTGCTGACCAGCAGTTTTGTGTTCAAGTCATTAACAAAAAGATTTCTTGTGAGAGTTTGAATCAGGTCACCTCAAGATGCAAGTAAATGCAATTAAAAGTAGCAACATCTAAAGACAGTTCAAGTGAGGGATGTGGGGATCTTGTTTATAAAATAAAATTCCTCTTTCTGTCACTGGAAACTCAGTTCTTCTACTTTACAAGTTTTTTTAAAAAGATGAAGTTTTCGCTACGTTACGTTGCTGCTGTGACTCAAAAACGTGTATTAGACCAGAAAATTATTAGGTCCCGTACATGACTCTGTGTTGCGTTTGCACTTCCTGTTCATAAAGAGAGTTTTGACCGAGAGAAATTATTATTATCAGCAGTGGTGGGCACAGCTAGTTAAAACATTAGCTTTGCTAACTCATAATTCACTAACTAAAAATATAGCCTCACTAACGTACACTAAACATACAAATAAAATTACAAAAGCTAACGCTAAACAGCTAAGCAAGTAAAAATTGGCAAAAACAAATGCTAAATAGCTAAACAAATAAAAAAATAGTGGAAGCTATTGGTAAACAGCTAAATGAGTAAAATTAGAAGAAGATAATGCTAAACAACTAATCTCTTGCTAAGATGACTGTCTCAGTCTGCAGCACACGTCTTTGTCTGCTGACCGGTGGGACTGACATAAACTTGTTAGTATTAACTTATTAGCAAACTTAAATTGGCAAAACCTAATTTAGCAGAACCTAATTTGTCTGCAAACCGTCTTCAAAGTTAGTGAAAAAGTTGATCCACTAAACAAAGAAATGCTATTAACTGATTAACAGAGAMATTCCCACCAATGAACAGTTTAAGCTGCTTTTGTTTCAAGACAACTTTTGATTAAGCTAAGTTCATTCTTTCGCTGTAATTTATGTGTTAATGTGCATGCTCTCGCCACCTAGTGGCCCAAGATGGGTTTCAACATTTTTGTTATAATGTGTGCAAAGAGACACAGAGAGAGAAAAACAATGCATACATTTAAAAACATGCCCCGAGTCCTGTAGACATGGCTAAAAACTAAAACTTTATRTTTATTTGCTATCACTCTCAGTGTCCTTCACAATTTGTTGTTTGAAAGCAAGCTTTTTGTTTGACAGCAGCAATGTGCTGATGCTAACTTTAGCTGRACCATCACAATGCCTCTATATTTTTATTCCTGCGCAGTGTGTCTCATATTGTAGATTTAAAATGTAATGCTTTAATCACAAATATTTTATCCAGCCTACAAGGCTTATAACACAAAACCCCCCTCTATAAATTTCTAGATATTGCAAATGTTCACACCATTTATTTCTAATTTATAGTATTTCTCCAACACGTCAAACAAACAGTAAACTGGCACATTCAGTTGCCACTGCTGTTCAGAGGAAATCAGATTGTTTTTGGTGGCGTATCCAGGTGTGCTTTCTGGTGTTTTCCTTGTTTTGTTTGTGTGGTCCCTAGTTTGACTTTAAAGGTAATGTGTAGATTTGAAGTGGGCATTCTTGGAGAGGTAGAGTAGTCAGTGACTCACCTGCAGCAGATAGCCGTCAAAACAACCTGCTGAAGTAATCATGGAGAAACTGTTTTGAAGCAGCCAAGCTAAACGCTAGCAAACAGCTTAAACCTCAAAGACTTTATAGTGGTTTAGCTAAATGCTTTATGGATTCAGATCAGATATGTTTAGCATGTTTATTTAGCAACATGTTTCACACAAAACGKAACGGAATGAGTCTTCAATGCAAATAACTTTAGACATTTACGTAAATAACTGTAAAAATGCAAAAGCGATGTGGTGCAAAGGCTTCATGTTGACTTACAATTAACTTAAACCGCTACTAAATTTTGAAGTTTGAGCTGTTGTAGTTAGCTTAAATCGGTTCTGTWATTAGCTTTAGCCTGGCTAGCTGTTAGTGAGGATTTCTCCCTGATTCTTCAGAATGAGATTGTTCTGACAACTGTTTRCTGCAGGTAACATACTGACTCCCATGAAAAACCCCACTTCAGACAATTCAAGCTTTTCTTTTTATCTGTCTGTGGAAAATCAACGTATCTTCTCAAGGTTCATCATGCAGAAGGTTTCATTGAAATGGTGGCACTATGTGCCACAGTAATTTGTTTGTGGATGTAGGTCTGTTTTCATGGCCCAGATGAAGTCTCTGTTGATGCTAACGGGTTTTATTTTCTCTCTTTCTCTGATTAAAAGATCAGTTCAAGATTCATTATTCTTTTAAGACATTAAAAAAGCTGTTGTTCTAAATCTAAATGTTCATTTTAATTAAAAAAAAAAACCTTTTCTTGGGTTATTTGTGTCCAGAAGCGAAGCTAATTGCTAGGATAAGTTAGCTGCGCCTTTAGTTCTGAACCTTTTTCTCCATTTTTCACTGAATATAAGTTTTAGATGTAATTAAACACAAACTTATTTATTTACTTACAAATCCTGACCTACGTCTTTAATTATTTATATGTATATTCAAACAAAACATTGTTTCTTTTCTGTCTTGGGGTTAATTTTTTCCCTCCATCCCCATCTTCTCTTCCTCTCAGAATGACACTGCATCCAACGCGGGACCTGAAACAGGTGTTTCACAAAGCCGTGAAGAAGATCGCTCACGTCCGAGTTGTGACTCAGCTCTACGTGCCCGAAGACGACCACAACGTCATGCTAACCCACCACTAATTCACACACGCACACATACAAACACAAAATCAGGTCTCGGCTTTTCACTAAAAGCTCACAAAAGCGTTGTCACTGAAGTTTACTCTGCGCTGGTTGAGCATCAGTCCTAGAGAGGAACAAAGTGAGAGGGTTGGATCGGATTAACAGCAGACTCAGTGTTAGCAGCCTGAGCTGAGGAGAAGTCTGATGTGGAACGATCTGCTGAGTCAGCAAATGAGGGATCTGCAGGAAGTGTTGATCAGCAGCTAATCTCACTCAGTTGTGTTCTTCTCCTTGGCTTCAGTTTCTGCAGGAGACGGATCAGTTAAAGACGTTTTAGTCATTTACAGGATATTTGCAATGTTGGTTTCATTTGGCAAATAAAAGGAGAGGTGATAATCATAAAAACACTGTTTATGAGTAATTAGGACATACACAAATATAAATTTTGTTTTAAAATAAAACTGATTATCCTAATCAGTAGGGGTGTGTAAAATATTGATACAGTGAAATATTGCAACATTTCATGTCTTGACTGCATCGTTTTTTTAATTCAGTCTTAATAGATGGATGTTGTAAGAAGAAATGTGAAATGTAGTTCTCACTGTGGTTTAGTGTTCTTCTGATTGCATAAAAATAAACTAAATTTAATCAGATTTTATGCATGTGTTGCATGGTGTTCTCTTTATATGGAGTTTTTAAAAATTAGAATCTTTTGAAGAAAAAAATGGCAATATATCACCTTGCTTWCATTAATGCAATAAATATTGATATACCATCCCATGACCCATCATATCACCAAATTCTTGCCAATACACAGCTCCATAGATAGTTTGAAGAAATGTCCTGATGCATCTCAGTAATCCAGGTAAAAATCAAAAAGAAAAAAATTGTATAGGTCCTCTGGA